CTTCACACCTGGGAGCACTGGGTTGAAGTCTGGACCCTCTTTTCCTGTGGAGATATAAACAATGCCTCTCTTTCTATATGCTCAATGTATCGACAATAGAGGTCTGTGCAAAGACCCTGTTATGAACCAATGTGTCCTGCAGCACTTGGTGGTAGCAGTTCAGCCTGCTAAGAAGCCTAGCTTCCACTTTCCAAGAAGTGCTGTTAACGTCAGCAATTTGTCGAAGAGAACGTGGAGGATCAGAGAGGTTAAGCAATTTGAGAAAGGGCACACAGCTAACCCAAGACTGTGACCAGGATGCACCAAGACAACACCCATAGCAGGCTCTCCTGAGTGATGCCCTACAATGGATATTTAAGTGAATATGTCCAACAGAATTCCCTCTTTGCCAAACTTTCAGAGTCCAAGGAATCCCCCTCTCATGCCAGGAATTTCTGGTAGGCCCTGCCAAAAATCCAATTCCAGCATACAGCAACCCTACATATGGTTTCAGAGGTTTTGTGAATCTTTATGGGAGCAGACAACACCACCACGGTGGGACATTGGGTTTGAACCACTAACCTTTCAGCTAACAGTCCTGTGCTTACTTGACAGCACCACAGACATGTCAATCAAAACAAGACCTCGGAAACCAATGTGAGTTGCTCATTGCCCAAGTTTGTAACGAGATGGTAGAGAGATAGGGGATCCGAGCGTGGTTGCAGAGAGTCCTGGGTTTGCATTCTGGGCTCCTCCCTTGCCTGGCTCTGAAATGCTGGGCAAGCTCTCTGAGCTCCAGTTTCTCCCTCCAGGAATTGGGGAGCGTCATGATAGGCGCATGGGAAGGGCCGGCTGTGGGTGAGGATAAGCCAGAGCTGCTTCTCCTTAGCTCCCAGGGTGTTTGGGAGCTAGGATGATGGTGGTGGTGGTTCTTATGACCCCTCCCCTATTCCCACCCCTACTCCTCAACCCTCCATACAAGGTAGCACTGCCCAGATCCTCCGCTCCGCCCCGCCCCCCCCAGCCCTGTGCAAACCTGCCCCCACGTTGGAGGAGAAGGGCGTGTGTAGAGCTGAGCTGAGCTTCTATCTTGGCAGCTCTGCAGATGGAAGGGGAAGGGCTCGGAGAAAGCAAGTTCAAAGACACACCTGTTAACCTGCATGCAGCTTTGGGGCCAGAACTTCCTCAGAAGGCAACTGCCTGCGGAGGGGGTGTGGCCGGGAGGGGTGTGCTTTAAGCAGGTAGGAGGTGTTCTAAGTTTGACTTGCACTTTTAAACAGCCCTCCCAGTCTCATCCTGCAGATTCCCGGGGTGTGCATCCGCCGAGCTCAAACTTTCACTAGAGCGTCCACAGCGCCTGGACTCATAAACCCAGGACAAGGTAAGAAGAGCCTGCTTCATTACCCGCCCCTCTGCTTGCCCCACACAGGACAGCAAGCACCTTGGGTCGGGAACCCCCGGGGGTGGGGGGTTGGCGAGGAGGTTGTCCCTCAGCTGTGAAGACATGGGAGTCTCCATTTGGCACATCTGCTCTCCAGTCTCAGCCCTTCGCTGGTGGAGACCACTTCTGAAACAGTGACTGTCCCTGTTCCTGCCCCCACCCCTGCCTACCCCACCCAGTCCCCATTACCAACACACAGGGTAGAAATGCAAGCAGGTCCATTTCCTAGGCCTGCCCCTGTGTTTAGACAAACATTTGTGTTGTCTGTTTTTAACAGAGCTTGTGGGTAATATGAGATAGCTTATCATCATAAATGATGTCCCCCTCACTCCCCCCCAAAAAAAACCCACACAAAACAAAACTCAGTTGGAGTCCATGATTGCTCCCTTAAAAATTGTCGCCAATATTTGTCAAAGGGCAGAAGAAAAGGGAAGGGCAAGATGTAATTGAAGAGGGGTGGTAGGAGGGACCTGAGAAAAACTGATGGGTCTCCTTGCAGCCTGAACACTGGTCCACCGTGGGGTCCTAGGCAGCTTACTCACTTGTCTGAGCCTGACCTGCCTCACCTGTTACCTGGGGGTGTGATGGCCCCACGGGCTGGCGGGGATCTTCTGTGGGCAAGGCAGAGGGAGGATTCGGCGGCTGCTGTGTGTTGTCAAGTTGCTTCTGCCTCATGAGGACTTAGAGGGCAGAGTAGACCTGCTCCACGGGGTTTTGCAAGTTGTGATCTTGACAGAAGCAGACTGCCACCTCTTCCTCGCACAGAGCAGCAGGCGGCTCACATCACGGAACTTTCACTTAGCAGCTGAGCCCAATCAATTGTTTAGTTGGCTCCCGCTCAGGGGACCCCAGATGTACAGATAGAGGCATGCTGTGTTTGGTTTTCAAGGCTGTGGCCTTTAGACAGCCAACCACTAGGCCTTTCTGCCACAGCCCCTGTGAGTGTGTTCTCCCGGCCAACCTTGCAGTTGGTAGCAGAATGCCTGACCATTTGCGTCTCTGGGGTCTCAGCTTCCCAAACCCAAATCCAACCTCAAACCCACTGCTATGGAGTCCATGCTGACCCACAGTGACATGACGTAGGATTTCTGAGATGGTAGGTACGGTACAACCTTATGGGGCAGGCAGCTTCATCTTTCTCCTAAGGAATGGTTGGGGGTTTGAACTGCTGACCTGGTGGTTAGAAGCCTTTCCATAGTGCCACTAGGGCTCCTGAAGCACATACAAAACCCAAGCTGTTTTTCTGTTAAGCCTGTTGATACTAATCAAGCCATTAAGTTGATAGGAAATCACAGAGACCCTATAAGAGAGGCCGTGCTTCCCACACAGGGTTTCCAGGGCTGTACATCTTTGGCATGTGGGTTCAGAGCAATGACCTTTCAGCTACAGCAAATGCTTAGCCAGGGATCTTTACTTAGCACATAGCAGATGCCAAATGGAAATTATGCCTCTTTCTCCTTTTAAATATGTGTGTGTGTGTGTGTGTGTGTGTGTGTGTATTACTCACCTACTAAAACTCATGCCATTCAGTCTGGTCTTTAAGGTCATCCTATGTAATCAAGGATGTATTTTGGGAAGTTTTGATGGGAACTTTCAATATGCCCAGCACTGGGCTCCAGAGCCGAAGTAGACATAGTCCTTGTCCTCAACCTTGCAGTCTGATTCCTCTGGTCAAGTCACCCCTGTCAACCTTGGCTCACTTTGTCCCAGCCAGATTGGAAAACATTCCCACCTTCATGCCGTTCCTTAGCCTCTAATCTACTCCCAAAATGCATCTCTTCCCAACTCCCTTTCCCCTGGACTTCACGTCTCTGTGTATCCACAATCCATGTTTAGGGTCTGGGTAAACATCACCCCTCCCGCAGGTACATACACAACCTCTCTCTTATTGCGGTCTGAGCCCAGGTGGGCTGCTGGGATAAGAACCTAGCCTCCTGGAACTGGGAGAGAGTTCGCCATTCTTTCATCCTCTACCTGGATTTCCTAGAGTTGAAGATTCACAAGCTGAAGACAGAATTGGGATTCCCCAAGGGTAGTCTCTTAGCCACTCAAGACCTAAGACTTCAAAAAAAAGAAAAGTCTTCTTGTGAAGGGTGTGAAGCTTTAAGGAGATGATGGCTCTGTCATTCCATAGCGCATCCCCATTCTGTTTCAGGGTACCCACTGCCATCCCTTCCATGCGCCATCACTCATTCCACTTCCGCCCTGTGTTTCCAGTGTCCACTCCTCCTTCTCTCCTAAGCCTTCTGAACTTTGTAAGACCTAAGACTTTCTTCTTCAAATCTATGGCCAACATCTCAGGAGCTTGGGCAGCCTCGTGGGTTGAGAGTTAGTCTGCTAACTGAAAGGTCAATGATTTGAACCTACTAGGCACTCCCTGAAAGAAAGATGTGGCAGTGTGGTCCCATTGAGATTGACAGCCTTGGGGACCCTCTGGGGCAGTTCTCTGTCCCCACACTCTGAGTCAGAGTCAACTTGATGGCAGTGGGTTCACTATTTTTCATGTTCAGCATCTAGTCTGGTCTGGGCATGTAGTAGCTGCTCTGCACTGCTTGGTGAAGGGCTGGACAGAGACAGGAAGGCATGAGGGAATGGATGAGTGAGAGTGAATGAGGCTGAGAGAATGAGGAAAGGGAGGGAGGGAGGAAGTCTGTGATACTGTAAGTGCAAGTCAACTGGAGATGGGCATAGACAGGCTGCTCACCTGGTCTTCCCACGAGCCAGAGTGATTCTGGCTTTGCTCATCAATGGGACAAGTCTGTGCCAGGATGGGAGGGAGGGCCAGCCTGCAGCCCTGGGCTTGGGAATGGCTTCCTCAGCTCTGACTCACCTCCCCTTTGTCAAACAGGTTCCCGCCAAGCCCCAGCCATGAGGATCCAGAGCCTTGCCCTGCTGTCCTGTCTCCTTCTGGTGGCCCGGGAGCTCTTGGTGGAAGGCAAAAAGGACAGAGGCCGGAAGAAGGAGCGTGATGGAGGACAGAGAAGTCAACCCCAAGCGCGCCTGGCGAAGGGCCGCTTTGTCACCCCAGACCAAATGCAATGCAGATGGATGGAGGTGAAGGAGGATGGTGGGGCCATGCTGAAGGTTGAGTGCCGCCGAGGAGAGAACCAGTTCGGCTGTTTCTTCGCAGGCAACCCCGACTCATGTCCAGAGTTTTCCAACAAAAAGAGAGTCTACTGGAGACAGATCGGCCGGTCCCTGGGGAAACTGACAAGCCCCTGTGAGGAGTCCCAGACGGTGCTGAAGACCAGGCTGTGCAAAAAGAACTTTCCGGAAGCCCATCTCAGGATGGTGAACTCTACTCTGATCCAAAAGAAGGTCCCAGAGGGCAGACCGATGGCCCTCCCCACCACCACCACCCTCCCCAAGCCAACGGTAGCCATCAAGACCAAAGAAACCATCCCAGCAGAAACCCAGCGGCCAGCCATGGGCCCCAAAGACCCCCGTTGTGAGCAGGACCCAGATGTCCAGTACCAGAGGCAATTGATTGAGGACTACTGCGGGGAGTCCTGGGGCTCTTTCTGCAAATTCTTCCTCAGCATGATACAGGAAAAGCCGTGCTTGTGAGACCAGAAAGACTGGCAGCCACCCCTGCAGGTGCAGAGCGCTCCAAACTAACCCTCCCGTCCCTCAAGACACGGACCGCCGGACTGTGGGAGAGCGGCCGTGTATTTATCATTTTTGCAATTGTGTTTGGCATGTACGCCTTTGGATGTGAGATTTTTCTATGTTTGTAAGGCCCCTCCTGCTCTGTGAATTGAGCAGGGAAGCCCCCCACCCCCACCCCACCCCCCCTTTGAGCTGAACTCAACAGAGGGATTTCCTTGTGCTGTCATTCCTGCTGAATTCACACGCATAATAAAGCTCAGGCGTTTTTGTTTTGTTTTTTATCTTCAGAAACACTTCATTCATTGTTTGATTTTCCTATGTCCGGTTTCCAACCAACACATGGCTTGTTATAAACAGGCCCGCATAGCTCAGTAGGAAAAAACATGTAAGCAATGACCTTGCTCTGCCACCCCAGGCATCCCGAGTTGGCCTCCAACGTAACCAATCCCAGAATCCCCATCTCAATCATAAGGAACCCGAGTGGGCAGGGGTTACCTGTTGGGCTATGAGTCCCTTAGCTAATCACTAAGCTTTATGCTCCAGTCAAGACTTACAGCCTCAGAAACCCACGGGCAGTTCTCCTCTGTCCTATAGGGTTGAGCTGAGTTTGGTGATTGTTTTTTTTTTTTTTTTTTTTTAGCTATTGGTTCATCTTTATCATTTCAATTAATTGTCTGTGATGCTGCAGGCTTTGCTCATTCCTGTTTCTCTAAATGTAGGAAGGAAATCTTCCCTGGAGGAGCTCATTTCTAGCCCACAGAGAGAGAGAAAGCTGTCCTGTGCCTTGTGGGGAGGGCTCTAAAGGAAGGAGGAGACAGGTGGCCTTGAACACCAGAGAGAGGAAGCAGCAGCTGTTCAAAGAGCTGGGGCTTCACAGCAGAGGTGATATTGGTGCTTTGAAGCTTTGAAGATCAGAGAGGATTTCTTGAGGTAGAAAATGGGAACTTTGTGTAGCATGAATGACAGCAAAGAATTATGTAAGTTCTAGGAGTTGGTAGAGATTGGGCAGCTAAAATGCAGGTGGGGCACAGGAATGGGACTGTTAATCATTTACACCTGAGTATGAAAATGGATATCAAAATTTCTTACTTAATGGGAGCCCTGGGAGAATGCAGTTAGGGAAGAAAAGGCTAGAATCCAATATTTGTCTTGTCTTCTTGCCTGGTGAAGGCCTTCTCTGTGCTGATCAGCCTTAAGCATTGTGTAAAATCTCATGGAAGGTGAACTCTCTCTAATTCCTGTTACAAGTCTATAAAGAGAGAAATGTGTGGAGCAGAACTTGGTAGGGGCATGGCTCTTAGGTGTCTGCTGAGGGGGTAGGAGGAAGGAGAGGTGAAAGTAATATGTCATCCACACACACTGGTTTACCAGGAGGTCCCTCAAAGCTTGGCAGTGGCAAATCCAGAGTGTGACATTATCAGGGTGACAATGAATATCATCATCATCATTATTATCATCATCACCAAGTGCCTTAGGTTGACTTCTCTAGAGAAACAAACCCAGTGATGTTTATAGGTTAGATAGATAGATAATTATATCAAGAAAATGGCTCACACAGCGGTACATCTGGGAAGGTTCCAAATCTATGAGACAGATGTTAGGTTGGAGGCTTTTCCTGGCTCTGGTAGCTATGGGGGCTGAGGAACCTAATACTGGCAGGAAGACCACAATCTGGTGGCTGTAGAAGAGAATGAACCCAAGTCCAGTTTGTCAGGCTTGTGACTACAGAGGTGATGAATCAAAGATTGTCAGGTCAGATGGCAGGCTGTTGATGATTGTCACAGAAACATTGAACACTATGGCAGGCCATTGGCTCAAATCCAAAGAATCAGAGCTCAACAAGCCAGTCAGGACATGCAAGCTTTCCCACAGTGCCCACTTCCATAGGCCAGACCGCTGAGGAAACTTCCTTTCAATGGATTGTATCAGGGCTGTGACCCGAATAAGGCATTTCTTCCCACCCTCATCTTCTTCTTTTTAAAAATTATTTTATTGGGGGCTCATACAGCTCTTATCACAATCCATATATACATCCATTGTGTCAAGTACATTTGTACACTTGTTGCCCTCGTCATTTTCAAAACATTTTCTTTCTACTTGAGCCCTTGGTATCAGCTAATCAATTTCCCCCTCCCTCTTTCTTTCCTCCCTCACAAAACTCTGGTAATTTATAAATTTTTATTATTTTACCTTCATCTTCTTCTAGCTGATTGACCATGGTCACATCGTGTCATGACTAGATGTTAACTGCCAAACCACTGAGAATCCTGGACTAGTAAAGTTGACCCCCAAACCTTTAATTATCACACCAATGTTAACACCATCTTTTTCTTCCTTTTTTTAAAAAAATAATTTTATTGAGGGCTCATACAACTCTTATCACAATCCATACATTCATCAACTGTGTAAAGCACATTTGTACATTCATTGCCCTCA